ACAAAAAACAGTCCAGGATTGGACCTCTGTTCCACCACCAGCACAATATTGACTCCAGAAGAAGGGGCAAAGCTTTTGCAGACAGGCATCCGAGGAACCCTCCCCCCTAACACCTTTGGCTTAATTCTGGGACGCGCTTCAGCCTCCCTAAAGGGGCTTCAAATACACTCTGGAGTAATTGATCCAGATTTCAAGGGAGATATCCAAATCTTAGCCTCCACGCTTAAGGGCCCCCTATACATCCCAGCAAAAACTACTTTTGCCCAACTTCTCCTCTTACTCCTTATCCCTTCCTCTAACAAGTGCCTTAAAGAGCACTGCGAAACGGGCGACATCGGCACCACAGATGTCTATTGGGCTCAACAAATCACGCGCGCCCGCCCCATGTTAACTCTGTCCCTAAATGGGAAAGCCTTTCAAGGCCTCCTAGACTCAGGAGCAGATGCCACTGTTATTGCTAAAGAGCAGTGGCCCTCTTCCTGGCCCCTTACAGACTCCACTACCCACCTACAAGGAATCGGGCAGTCTCAAAACCCTCAAGTTAGTTCCCAGTCTATTCATTGGTCAGACCAAGAAGGGAATTCAGGGACAGTTATTCCCTTTGTAATTCCTAAGCTTCCAGTCAATTTATGGGGACGAGACATTCTCTCTCAAATGAATATTATTATGTGTAGCCCAAATGAGTTAGTGACCAGGCAGATGCTGACACAAGGCTACTTGCCAGGCCAAGGGTTAGGAAAGAATGCACAAGGCATTAAAACTCCTGTGACCATCGTATCAAATACTCAAAAAAGGGGACTAGGATTCCCTTTCTCCTAGAGGCCACAATCATACCTGTACCCCAGCAGTATGCCGATAAAATAACATGGAAAACAACCGAGCCTGTCTGGGTTGATCAGTGGCCTCTGAAGACAGAAAAATTACATGCAGCCACACAGCTTGTACAGGAGCAGCTGGCAGCAGGTCATATTGAACCTTCCAATTCCCCCTGGAATATCCCCATCTTTGTCATTGCAAAAAAATCAGGCAAATGGAGGCTCCTGCAAGACCTTCGAGCCATTAATAAAGTTATGGTACCTATGGGTGCTCTGCAGCCCGGTCTCCCATCCCCCGCAGCCATATCCATAAACTATTATAAAATTGTTATAGACCTGCAAGACTGCTTCTTTACTATCCCTCTCCATCCTGATGATTGTGTTCATTTTGCCTTTAGCCTTCCCCAAATCAACTTTAACAAACCAATGCCTAGGTATCAATGGCGCGTTCTTCCCCAAGGTATGGCGAATAGCCCTACCCTAGCCCAAAAATTCATAGCTCGAGTTCTAGTCCCCGTCAGGAGACAATGGCCTCATATTTACTTCCTTCATTATATGGATGACATCCTTATTGCTTCTCCTGATGAAGCCCAAGGCATTGCCTGTTTTCAACACCTTATAGAAACCCTAGAGGCCTCTCATTTAAAAATTGCTCCCAATAAAATTCAATTTTCCGAACCCTATACTTACCTAGGCTATAGCCTCCAGGCTCACAGGATTTTCACACCCAAAATAGAGCTCCAGACTTCCTCTCTCAAAACGCTGCATGACTTTCAAAAATTGCTAGGTAACCTACAGTTTCTAAGGCCATACCTGAAACTTCCCCCTGAAAGCTTAACTCCCTTAAACAATTTACTAGCAGGCAACTCACATCCCCTCTCCCCCCGCACCCTAACGCCCTTAGCAGTTGCTGCTATAGAACAGATAAATCAAGCTATCTCTCTACAAACCTCTTTCCAGATTGACTACTCTTCTCCTTTATATCTTATCATTTGTGCCACCACCCATGCTCCAGTAGGACTTTTTTGGCAGTCAGCCAAGACCCCTGAACAACGAGGCAAGCCTCTTCTTTGGGTCTACCTCTCCAACAAACCTGTAAAAGCCATAACACCTTACTTTTCCCTAACTGCCTCTATTATCATAAAAGGGAGAAAATTAAGCAGACAGTATTTTGGTAAAGATCCCGATATCATTGTAGTTCCATATACTACAGAGCAGATAGATTGGTTGCTACAAACCAATGATGACTGGGGTATGGCTTGTGCCTCCTTTGCTGGGACCATAGATAATCATTATCCCACTGACCCTTTGATTCAGTTTAGCAGACTGCATCCCCTAGGTTTTCCCAAAGTTACCTCCCCCTCTCCTTTGCAAGAAGCCCTCCTCATCTTTACAGATGGCTCAGCAACAGGGCAAGCAGCATATGTTATTCAAGGTAAAACCCCTGTCTCCCTGTCCACCTCCTTTTCATCTGCCCAACTTGTTGAACTTTATGCAGTTCTCCAAGTGTTCCAATCACTCCCTAATACCCCTTTCAATCTTTATACAGACAGCTCTTATATAGCCCACTCAGTACCTCTCCTAGAAACCACTCCCTTTATTAAACCTTCATCTAACGCTGCTGATCTGTTCAAACAAATTCAATATCTCATAGTCCGACGCTCCAAACCCTTTTTTATTGGCCATTTGTGAGCTCACACAGGACTCCCCGGCCCTCTTTCGGCAGGCAATGCCCTTGCTGACCAAGCCACCCATACTCTTCCCTTAATAGCACCAGCCTTTAGTAGTGTACCCCTAACTCAAGCTCAGCATGCTCACTCCCTCCACCACCTTTCAGCAAATACTCTGCGGCTCATGTTCAAAATTACCAGAGAGCAAGCCCGAGAAATTGTCAAAAGATGTAATGACTGTGCTCCACATCTTCCTGTTCCTCATTTAGGAGTGAACCCTCGGGGACTGATCCCGAATGAAATTTGGCAAATGGATGTCACTCATTTCACCCCCTTTAAAAAGATGAAATATCTTCATGTTACTATAAATACCTTTAGTGGTTTTATTTTTGCATCGCCCCTTACCGGAGAGGCTTCTAAAGATGTCATTACCCACACCTTGCGCTGTTTTACAGTGCTAGGCAAGCCAAAGATGATAAAAACCGACAATGGGCCAGGTTACACAGGAGCTAAATTCCAGCGCTTCTGTTCTGACTTCCAGATAAAACATATCACAGGCATCCCATATAATCCCCAAGGACAAGGAATTGTAGAGCGAGCTCATCAAACACTTAAAAACACGCTCTCCCGCCTCAAGAACAATCCCCTCGTGTATACAACTATCAGCCCCCATAACCAACTTAGCCATGCCTTGTTTGTCATTAATTTCCTGACGCTTGACTCCCACGGATGCTCAGCTGCTGATCGGTTATGGCACCCAAAAACCAATGAGCTTCAAGCGTTAGTAAAATGGAAAGATCCACTGACCTTTGCATGGAAAGGTCCTGACCCTGTTATAATCTGGGGCAGAGGGTCCATCTGCATTTATGACCAGCAAAACTCCGAGCCTCGATTGCTCCCTGAGAGACTAGTTAAAACTGCTAACTCACCACCGTCCAGACTGGAGTTTCCCTCTCCGCCTGAGACAAATTCTCCTTCCATTGCAGATGCAGTCACCAACAATCCTCGTTCTCCTGATCACGACTACAGTTCTGAGTCATCAGCCAGCACCACCACCCGTGAAGTTCCGGCACTTCCCCTGGAACTACACCTGGATAGTGCTGTCTGAAAGAGGAGACGTTGTTTGGTCCCGCTCTCAAACCTCACCAGACGTCTGGTGGCCAAACGTTTTACAGCCCGATCTCCGTAAGCTGGCCCTCGGTGCAGGAGCCCCTTGGGGTGTAGAAGATCTTTTTGACCAAAGTGCAGCACCTCGTGCCCTTCGTGGGCCGTTAGATTCCCCTGGTTGCTCTGACCCAGAATGCCGGTCAGTTCTTAGGTCATACTCCTTTTATGTTTGCCCCGGGCAGCACCGACCCCGTTACCAGGCGGAGGCAAGTCAGATTATTATTGTGCGTCATGGGGGTGTGAGACCACAGGAGACACTTATTGGAAGCCCTCCTCTTCCTGGGATTATATCACTGTCAAGGCCAATTATAACCACCACAGTACTTTTTGGTCAGACGATGTGATTCCAGGGTGCAACCAGGAGAATACTACTACTAGAGGTTGGTGTGACCCTCTTTCAGTCAAATTCACCGAACCAGGGAAAAAAGCCCCAGGCTGGACACAAGGATATACTTGGGGTCTTCGCTTATATAAAGACCATCATGATGAAGGCATCACCTTTACTATTAAACTCCTTAAAGAGTTCCCTGCCACCCCTTCCGTCGCCATAGGCCCAAATACAGTCCTAGGTGGGAAGCACCCTCCCCCACCAAAGCCCTCCACCCTCTCACCTGACCATAGCCTCACAACTAGTAGTCTTAAACCCTCCCCTACACCGCCAGTGCCCACTTTAGCGAGTTCTAAAGACCTTGTCTTCACCCTCATAAATCAAACCTTCCTTAGTATTAATTCTACCACCCCTGAGCTTACCGCCAAATGTTGGTTATGTTACCACTCTTCCCCCCCCTTTTATGAAGGTGCTGCCATCCCTGGCAATTTCTCCACCTCCAATGATACTTACAACTGCCGTTGGGAACGCGCTAGTTGGGAAGGCCTAACCTTAGCCCAGGTAGTCAGTAACGGGACTTGTATAACTAACACTCTGCTAAAAATCCCTCGTGGGTATGCCCACCTCTGTCAAGAAATCTTCTCTATTGAACGGGGACCCCAATATATTGTTCCCCCCAATGACACCTGGTGGGCCTGCTTAGATGGACTCACCCCCTGTGTCTACAACCCCGTATTACAAGAACATGGATTTTGTGTTCTCGTAAAAGTTATACCCAGGCTTATTTACTACCGGTCTGACGAGTTCTTCCATATCTGGGAACAATCTTCAGACCCTTCCCTCCCTAAGTGCTCCCGCCAAGAACCCATTACTGCTGTTACTATTGCTGTTTTGCTTGGCCTAGGGGCTGTAGGTGCCGGTACGGGCATCTCTTCCCTAGTTCTTTCTAACTCTCGCTATCACGAACTCAGTGCCACTATAGACCAAGATATCCAAGAATTGCAAAAAGGAATCTCTGACCTGACAGATTCGATCTCGTCCCTCGCTGAAGTAGTTCTCCAAAACCGCAGGGGGCTAGATCTGCTCTTTCTGCAGCAGGGTGGGCTTTGCGCCGCCCTAAAAGAAGAGTGTTGTTTCTATGCTGACAAAACAGAAGTTGTTAGAGATAGTATGAGAAGGGTCAGAGAAGGGTTAGAGAAAAGAAGAATAGAAAGAGAGCAGAGTGAAAGTTGGTATAAAAATTGGTTCTCTACCTCTCCATGGCTCACTACTCTTTTGCCCTCTCTCTTAGGCACCCTCATAGGATTAATATTGCTCTTGTCTTTCAGCCCTTGGGCTCTTAAACATTTGACGAGCCTTGTAAAAAAGCAAATAGACACCCTTGTTGGCAAGCCTATTCAAGTCCACTATCACAGACTTGCTCGTGATAGCGATGATGAGGAAGCTCCCTCCTCCAGCAGATATGAACGTCAGTATGACTCTTCTAAGAGTCCTTGAGTAAGCTGGCTGAGTACCCAGGGTAACGGCAGTGAAAAATCTGCCTTGAGGGACATGACTGATTGCATAGAGGTTTGTGTCCAGCATCTTCCTCTCCTCAAAAAATAAGGACATTTTGTGCGTAATTAAGCAACTCCCTTCTCTTCAGCACAGTCTGTAAGACTAAAGGAGTTCTCCTCACGTGCCAGGTACCCATATGCCAGGTACCCACTGAGGATCAGACCCCTGTACCCCCCCTTTTTTATTAATTCTTACAACAAATCAAGTCAAGACTGGTAGCCAATGATGGGTAAGATATGGTTGTATAGGGAATACCAACCTAAGACAGGGTATAGTCGCTAGAAGACTATAGCCCCATGACAGGTAAGGATTTCCTTCAGCCGTACAATCTAAGACAGGCACAGGCCTTGACCCAGCCAGAGCTAGGCTGGCTGTTCCAATATAAGAAAAACGGGGGAGATGTTGGGAGTAAACCTGTGGGCCTTTAGGCAGATTTGGTCACAAAAGCCTTAAGACAACAGCAACGTTTGAGTAAAGTCTTTCCTGTAAGGTCAGCAACAATGAATCCATCCACGCATTAGAAACAAGTTTTCCCCTATTACCAAGAAACGCATTTAGTGAACTCCTAGGTTAGAGCTAGTGGTTAGGTTACCTCGCAACATGTGCTTTTCTAGGTTAGAGCTAGTGGTTAGGCTACCTCGCAACATGTGCTTTTTCTGTCCTTGTTAATCAAGAAACACCCTCTGCCCCAGGGGAAAGCCCCTCCCTTAAAACCTCCCTCCCAAGGGCCCCCACCCCCAAAATGGCAAACTCCCCGCTTCTCTTCCAGGTCCTCTGTTCCCGCCGGCGCCAACCAAGACCCAATCACCCCTCTACACCTCCCCGCCGGCACCACCTAAGGTCCAATTATCTCCTGATCCACCCCTTACTTGCTAACATGTATAAATTGAGCCTGCAAACAATAAACTGTGCCAGCTTGATCAGACATCCTGTCTTGCTGGTCGTTCTTTGTGACCCTTGCCTCCCTCTTTTTTTTTTTTTTCTCAATTCTCTCCTCTAGGTCGTCGACCCCCGTTGATAGTCCTGCAGGTCGGGACACTCTTGATATATTTTTGAATTTGGTTTGCTAGTATTTTGTTGAGTATTTTTGCATCTATGTTCATCAGGGATATTGGTCTGTAATTTTCTTTTTTTGTAGGGTCTTTGCCTGTTTTTGGTATTAGACTGATGCTGGTTTCATAGAATGAGTTTGGAAGTATTTCCTCCATTTCTATTTTTTGGAAAACTTTAAGGAGAATGGGTATTACATCTTCTCTAAATGTCTGGTAAAATACAGCAGTGTGCTGTTGTCATTTGTCTCCACAAAATCCTTGATCTCTGTTTTAATTTGGTCATTGATCCATTGATCATTTAGGAGCATGTTGTTAAGCCTCCATGTGTTTGTGAGCCTCTTTGTTCTCTTTGTACAATTTATTTCTACTTTTATACCTTTGTGATCTGAGAAGTTGGTTGGCATAATTTCAATCTTTTTGAATTTACTGAGGCTTTTGTGGCCTAATATGTGATCTATTCTGGAAATGTTCCATGTGCAGTTGAGAATAATGTGCACCCTGCTGCTTTTGGGTGTAGAGTTCTGTAGATGCCTGTTAGGTCCATCTGTTTTAGTGTGTTGTTCAGTGTCTCTGTCCTTACATATTTTCTGTCTAGTTGATCTGTCCTTCAGAGTGAGTGGTGTGTTGAAGTCTCCTAAAATGAATGCATTACATTCTATTTCCTCCTTTGATTCTTTTAGTATTTGTTTCACATATGTCAGTGCTCCTGTGTTGGGTACACAGATATTTATAATCATTATATCCTCTTGTTGAACTGATCCCTTTATCATTATGCAATGTCCTTCTTTATCTCCTGTTACTTTCTTGTTTTGAAGTCTATTTTGTGTGATAAAAGTACTGCAACTCCTGCTATTTTCTCCCTATTGTTTGCATGGAATATCTTTTTCCATCCCTTCACTTTAAGTCTGTGCGTGTCTTTGGGTTTGAGGTGAATCTCTTGTAGGCAGCATGTAGATGGATCCTGCTTTTTTATCCATTCTATTACTCTGTGTCTTTTGATTGGTGCATTCAGACCATTTACATTTAGGGTGATTATCAATAGATATGTACTTACTGCCATTGCAGGCTTTGGATTTGTGGTTACCAAAGGTTCAAGCGTAGCTTCTTTACTATCTAACTGTCTAACTTTAACTCACTTATTATACTATTATAAGCACAGTCTGATGATTCTTTATTTCTCTCTCTTCCTGTTCTTCCTCTTCCTCCTCCACTCTTTATATATTAGGTGTTTTATTCTGTACTCTGTTGTGCCCGCCTCAACTCCTTTTGTGGATAGCTGATTTTATTTTTTGCCTTAGTTAGTATTTGGTTGATCTGCTTTCTTTGCTCTGATTCTGTTTTCTCTGGTGACATCTACTTAGCCATAGGAGTACTTCGTCTAGAGCAGTCCCTTTAAAATACCCTGTAGAAGTGGTTTGTGGGAGATAAATTCCACCTGTTAAACCCTTGTTCCTTTAAGACTTTTAAAGTGCCTGTCTTTCTTTGTCCCAGGGCACCTGACTGTGGGGACCCACTCACAGTCTCTGTCTCAGATTTTACTTTTCCGTTTCTCTAATATCCAGTACACCATGCAATGTGTGTCTGTGCTCCCAGTGCAGATTGCTATGTCTGGTTATTCAGCAGTCCTGTGCTTCCACTCTCTCCCCACTCTGATTCTTTTCCTCCCGCCAGTGACCTGGGGTGGGGGAAGTGCTTGGGTCCTGCCATGTCACAGTTTTGTATCTTACTGTTTTTGTGAGATCCTGGTTCTCGCAGATGTAGACGTAGCTTGGCTGTTGTACTGTACCTTCTGGTCTCTCTTTTAAGAATAGTTGTATTTGCTATATTTTCAAAATATACATGGTTTTGGGAGGAGATTTCTGCCATCCTACTCACACCACCATCTTGAGCACCCCCTCCCCCAACCGAGGTAGCTTTTATCAATGGTTTGGGGGATAATTTAATCAAGGAAAATCATAATAGTGTTTTCTACTTTCAAAAAAATCCTTATAAAGAGCTCCACATTATTTTCTCAATCTCTAACATTTCTGTGAAGTAGATGGTAATATTACCTTTTCCTTTCTTTTAGGTGAAATGCTATATGGCTGAAGGAATTAACTGACTTACTCACATGGTAGCTTGTATTTTACCCACTGACTAGACATACTGCTTGGGATTAACACTAGGCCAGGGACTCAAGTCTGAACTTTACATATTCAAAAGTGTTAAGCTTCTAGTTTTCTCTATAGTCATCTTTCAATGCATCACATTAGTCTTGCCAATGGGTTTCAGCCCCGGGCAAATTCACTATGGATTGATTCAGTGTGACCAAAGAAATTGACAGCAAAACATTCTTTGAGGTGAAAGGGCTTATTACCCGGTTGTTCTCTCAGCAGTAGGTCGAGCACTAGCATCTCTGCCTCCACCCAGAGCACTGGGCTGAGCTCTCTATATAGCACAATAATAGCTTACTGCCTAAAGGTGTGGAAGCAGTAGCCTAGCAACAGACCAGTTACATCATCAGGTGGTTTAAGTTCAGTGAGGATCCTGGCCATAGGAACCTCAACTTCCCCACACTCCACCCCTCCAGGATTCTCGCCTTACAATCTACATGCTTCCAATCTTCTGCAATGGTCCCTGTGCGAGAAAACCGGAGCACTGGAACCAGATTCCATAATAGCAACAGAGGATAACAACAACTTAGAGATAATAAAAATTAAGATACAGCAAGATTTTGATACAGGTAACAAAAATTATAATAATCTTCAAGCCAGAGGAGGTTCCTAATAACAAAAATTATAATAACCTCAAGCCAGAGGAAGTTCCCAATCCACAAAGAATTTAGGGGCAATAAGACACATGTTTTAATGCCACCAACATACGCAAATCTTGTCCATCAGGTAGGATGCATGCAACAGAGTGGTCCTGTGATAGGACTGTAGCAGAAAGGGGGTCTCTTCCAGATCTAATATACCATACTTTTAGTCCTTTCCCCATGGGGGTTACTGAAGGGTCTATATATAGTGCTACTGGAGGTGCATGCACTGTCCATAATGATAAAACAAAACTCCCTGTTAAGATGCTCCTACCTTCTGGCCATTCAGGATATACTACTGTGATCTTTGGTAGCCACTCTGTTGTTATTCCAGGAATACACAGGAGGCCAGCTTCCAAGTCTTGTCCCCAAGGTGCCAGGAGAGCCAGCCATCGTTGGTCCATGTGTCAAAAGGTCCAAGGCCACATCCACTCAATGGAGTCTCCGGGGTTCAGTGCAGTTGGTTCTGGCAGCAAGATGTTATTCTGGTGGCTGAACCTCTGCTTCAGTAATTCTTCCTTGGTTTGTACTTGCAGTATAGGGGAGGCAGCCATATGTGTTAACATGTCTACTGGGCTCAGGGCTCCCTTTTGCAGGTCTCTCATTCAAACACCATAGCACAGTCCATAAGTGGACTGACCATTTCCACATACTATTGGTATCTGACTTTAATCCGGATTTTAACAAGCCATTGTGCCTCTCTATCATGCCTG